GTTACTAAAGCTGAACAAATCATATAACATCATGTAAGGTGTATTAAATGGTCTGCGAAATTTTTGGTCAGAAATAATTCGAATAAGATTTCCACCTCAATAATTCTGAGGGGACTGAATATTCGCAATACTTTTGGCTTTTGACAGAAAACAATAAAAAGTCAAAAAATTCTGCGAAATCACTCATTGTATAAGATTTGTGCAATGAGAAATCATTTAGTCAAAGACAAATCGAACAGGGAGATTTTTAGCTAGAGAAATTCTATAATAATGAATATACAATGATCTCAGGTGCAGATAATTCACTTAATAACCATTTTTCGCAACTTTGTCACTCATCCTCTAGATTTGACATTAATGACAGTCAGTCTCAGCAAAGGGAGATATGTAATTGCACTGACCTTGTCCACATGAATGGTTTATGGAATTCTCGAATTTATTAATTTGATCAAAGTGGGAGGCAAAGAAAAGGCTCGGTCATTTTAGAGTAAAATATCTTCTATGCAAATTTTCGAAATGGTTGAGTATAGCGTCTATAGGTGCAAGTGATCAAACGATTATTTAAGTAATTATTAATGGATTCTGTAGTATGAGCATACAAAGACTTTATTTGACATCTCACATAAAATCTCTGTTATAGGTTAGGAGAACCGCTTTGGAAAGAACTGCATCCATTTTACCTCACTTTTTGAACACTACAGTCGATTGTATAGAAGCAGGCTTCAAAAAATTTGCGGGTCGATCTCTGATATTAAAGCTTGCAATCAAGGCGAGCTTGCGATCTAAATCAAAGTTTATACAGTGAATTATTTAGGGCTCTTTTTTCGGGATAAAACTGGAGCAATTTCCACTTCTTGCAGAAGAGTTAGATGAGTTAAAGGTCTGTGGGCTCAAAGTAATGCTCAATGCCCTATCCTTGCTTTTCGCGTACTCTACTGAAATTCGAAAAATTCAAGCCTTCTCGACGCTCTGAGTTTGTCAGCAAAAGACGGCTGTCTCAGACGGCATGGTTCCAAACATTCCCTTCCCCATTGCCTTGCTTCTGTCTAAAGGAAAAGCTTTTTGGAGAAACATGCTATTTTAGTTTCGAATCTTCAGAACGTTCAAATTTCCCAAACATCAATTCCTTTCCTGATGCGCAAATCGCAGAATGCGGCTGAGTTCTTCAACAGTTTTGTTACTCTCCAGAGCGAGTACTCCTCAAGCACTTATTACTAAGCAAATAAAATCTATTGCAAAAACTGTGCTTGAGTACTTTTAGCAAGCAATACGTTCAAAATAAACATCTCACGCTGAGAATCCCATAAAAAAATTGCAAAACCCACTCGTATTCGCAAGCGACAAAGTAAGTAACATTTACTAAAATTTATCTAGAGGACGGAGATGCCACTATGGTTCCATTCTCTTTTTCCTGAGAAGCTATGAATTAATGGGTTCGTGCATAGAAATTTACAGAACAAAAGAAATTGCTGTCATAATCAAAACAGCGGATAGATGTTTTTAAAATTTAGAATTACTAGATAATGCACTATAGTCGTTGTAAGTTGTTAAAATGCTCAAATGGTGTCAAGTTAGGACCTTTAATGTTGCTATGGCACTTCAAATGTGTCAAGCACCTCATAGTGGATAATATCATAACCACTGTGACCCTTCATTGAATCACGGAAACTTAGGGTCACAATGGTTATTTTGACAAACAGCCGTGACCCACTTCCCAAAAATTCTGACACACACACATCAAATGTCAACCTTCAAATATTTTTGTCACTTGTGATTTACCATTAAGTCGCGGTTATTTCTTCTTAAGCGCATTGTGTAGGCGTTATGATTTGGAAAAAACAGTTATAGATTTGCCCTTCATCATTTGGAAGGGAAAATCAATAATCTAAAAAGTTGAAGAATTATGAGCGTAGGCGGTAGATCGTATATCAAGAAAAAACCAGAAATTCTATGCATGAGCTTCTGATTAGGATAAGCTGGAAGTGTTTATTATGCTCAGTTTTTTTTGTTATTTGAAGAAGAAAAAGCGCCAAAATGTTTTCATTGCCTTGATTTACAGTTTTTTCTCTAGCATCACTGGTAAGTTGAATTGGTCATATCAATGCAAATCTCGAAAGTTCTTTTAGGTAACTTTGTATTATCGAGATCATTTTGGAAATTTCGAAAATTCGGGGGTTCCTGCACGAATTATCAAAAAATTCGATCTCCCATTCCATGAGGTTCTGCGGCTGTACGAATTGTCCACTTGCATTGTTTGATGAAATCCTCATCCGCTTGGATTATGTTACATTTCGCATTGCATGAGAAAGCAGGTCCCACTTCAATTGAAGGATTTTCACTAATATTGATGCACGCAATAACCTGCAAGAATGTACTCTGGACAAAAATTGAGATAATGGCTAAAACAAAAGAAATGTGGTCTTTTGCAGAAAAACTTTCAAAATCCGATTTTAAGCTACCAGATGCTTGGAAACTTCCCATTTAGCTATACTCGCAATTTATATGAGGTTGAGAAAGTTGTAGGTAGAAGCTGGGTTTGACCAATCTAGCACCGTCTGTATCAAAAGCCTATTTTATAGAGGGATGCAGGTTTTTGTTTGAAAAGGTTGAACCTGCTGTACTATAATGAATTAAGCTTTTTCTGAGCTTTGCTTTAACGTGTGTTCCATTTTGGACAAGTGAGAAAACCTGAAGCTGCAATTCAATTAACAATAAAAGAAACTTTGACACATCCACGACAAGGCCAATTTCTCGATTGGTGCCGTTTTGGACCAGAGCTTTTTCTGCTTTGTCAAACTTACGACTCACCCGTGGGTCGCACTACCCGAAGTGGTATTTTTTGGAAAATTCAAAGCATGTGTACGAGAATTTGACCCGGGGCATTAAAGGCGCTGTTTACTAAAATATGATTTATTTCAATTTTTGGAGTTATACGGTATTACGGTAGACATGCACGCACCCGACATCATGGATTTTTATGAAAAAGTGTGTTTTGGGACAATTTCACATGCTGATTACGATTATAGTATCCACTTTGTTCAGTACTCTCCCACGGTGGGGCTACGGTAACATTACAGTGGAAGTTTCGTAAAAATAAAGAAGCTGGGGTGAGAAGGCGGTATGAGAATTTGAGACTATCATTTTCGTAGTCAGCATGCTGTAAAACCTACATTTGTTACTTGAGCTTCTTGGGCGAACAATTCAAGGAATTCATAAAATCTATAAAATCGATAAATTTTTGATGGGCTAACATCTGTCTTTTGCCCACACAGAATTTCTCGTACATGCACACTTGAATTCCCAGAAGCAGCATCATTCTGCAAAAAATCTGAGCTACATTTTGCACCTTATCTCTCTCTACGGTATACTTACCGTAGCGATACATTACAGTATTCCAATCTCGGACCACTCTTACTGGAGCTTCGCCTAAGTGTCCCCAACCATGTGCCAGAACCCCACAGAATTCCATTTGAACTGGCAAAGATAGATCTCTAGGAATCTTACGACCCAGCGATGGGTCATATTGTCCGAAATGGCAGAACAGTTATGGCCCACCGATGGATCGTATTGGTGAATGTGTTAAAGGAAAGCATTTTACTGGCTTCAAAAAAAACCAGAGGAAAGAGAACATACCTTTACAAGGGGCACAGTTGCGCGGAAAAATGTAAGCTCTATAAATTGTTATACCTGTCTAAGCGCTAGAAACTGCATTGCAAAAACTTCGGATCGCGTTTCTCTCTCCCCGAGTTCTCGGCATCGCTTCAACTTCGCGCACTCAATGATCCATAAGTGGAACTTACTCGACCTTGGCTGGTCGCGGATTCAATGTGGTGGTGGCGCGGATAGGTGGCAGAAAAACATGTCCGATAGAGCCGCTCTATTCCGCCTAATTACCTTTGAAGCAGACAATCTTTGCTTAACGACACATTCCTCCTTATTATTAATTGCTGCTAGGTTTATGCGTGCGCTTAATTGGAACCTGAGAGTGGCGGGGGAGAGGGAAGACCCGGAAGATGTCGTGATCGGGTATTCGCGCCACATCATTTACGTTATCACTACGTTTTCGAGAAAAAGCAAACCGGCTATCGGTTAAAATACCTCGCGACATTTCGAGAGGTTTGACGGTGATGTTCGAATTAAGCGAATTTGCGAAACTCTTGAAGAAATTGCGATTAAGCCGTTTCATAGCCTTATTTGTGTGACTGCACATTTTGCACTTTGCATGTAAAATCAAAACATTACGAATAGCTTTGCGCAGTTTTCAACAAATTTTGTGTTGGGGCGGGGGGGGCACCCTTCATTTTCTGGAGGAACAAATATTTAGTAAAAGAAGTAAACAGTTACTCATCCCAAAAGAAGGCGTCAATGTGGTTAACAAATTTTGATTGGACGTGCAATGTGTACAGTATGTGCAGTTGCACACGTTACGATATGAGACGACTAGACTACATAGGGTATTCATTTGCAACCTAAAGATTCAAATACGTGTGGCTGCACATTGCGCGCCGCACCTCACGACTACTTACTTTGATGGTCACTAAAAAATGATGGCGAAAAAATTATTCAAAATGATTTTTTACTCATCTAACTGTTAAATTTGATGAGAAAATTCATGGCGTCGTTTGTGATAATCTAGATGAGAATGTGTGGGATTGCACTGTGCGCGCGTGAATTCACAGCAACTGACTGGAAACAGACAGTAAGAAATGCGTTGTAACAAATTATTTATGAATTTTTCCGTTGAGGTTTTCGGAAATAAAAGAAAACAAAAATATCGTGGAGACTGACACTTTGTAAGCATATAAGTCGTAGAATACCGCGCTTATTGTGCAGTACAACGCAACGCATCAATTTTTCGTACCCATAAAAGAGTACTGTATTCGCAATGGAGCGCGTTATTTCACCTTATCGGAGGTGACAACGAAAAAGCATTAATTTCTTCGTTTTTTTCTTTATTTTTGTAATACACGGAATGAGCTTTTGAAACATAACTCATTTTCTTCCTATTCATATTTTACTACGAAAATCAATCAATAAAACTTCATACATGCACACCACACACATAACAAGCACAAAAAATAACTATGATGATCAACAAAAATTGATCTGCAAATAGAGTAGATCTAGCTACTGGCGCGATGATAAATTCACACACACACAAAATTATTTTTCTTTACAAAAAGACTCCATGAGTCGCGAGGCGAGACAAATACCGGTATCAGTAAAGAATCGGAGTAAATGTTGAAACGCGTACACATTCCTCATGTAGATCAAAAAAATACACAGATGAAAAAAAATAATATCTTGTTCATAATTGGTGAACGGTCCGGTATGAGAGGCATAGAAAATTTTGAAAGAAATTGGGAAAGAGGGGGCAAAATTCTGATTAGATTACTTCTTTCTCGTAGGGAGTAGGGGAAGGAGAAGAGGATGGGCTAGATTCGCGGATCCCGGAATCGATGGAGGAATTTGAAGAACGATTTTTGATGATGTAATTGGAGGGGTCGAGAGTGCTACGGTCTATATTGCCAACTCCTGTCTCAATTACAGGAGGAGGAACGATATGGGAAAGTGGGACGTTCCCGGAGGGAACTTCGGGAACTTCCGCAGGTGGTTCGTGAAAGAAGTTTGGAGCCGTTCGGATTAGTTCGGACGGGCGACGAAGCTAAAAATCATATAAGCTTTGTTTTTTTCCAAATTTTTGCGTTTAATAAGAAATTCCTTCATCGTGGGAATAAAAACCTACAATTCTTTTATGTCCAAATCTATTACTGCTCCTTGGTGGGATCGGAATCCTCAGCACGCTATTTTGTCTTGAAAAATACTGTGGTTGATTCTCTCCTACACAAAAGGTCGTGACTGCAGACATTGATGCAGAAAATCCATCTTCAAACTGATCCTAAATCCATAAAAATTGTTGGAAACCTGCCAGAAAATTTCCCACACAGAAAACCTACCTCCGAATCATCATCGTCATCCAAACTAGTGTGACTCTGACATTTTCTCAAACTTTGTTCCTTCATCTTTTTCATTTCCGTAATTTGGTCACCCAACGTAAGCAGTTGTTGTAGGAGGGTCATATCGTTCTCCATTAAAGAGAGCTGGAAAAGAAATTTTGAAAAAAAATTTTTTTTTCCGGCTGAAAACCTGCACAAGGTCGAGTACAAATGAATTCTTTGCTTAATGAAGGTTTGGAAATTGTGATTGTTTTCACCTTCGTCGGAAAAGGAATCCATTTATCATTATCCTTGAGAAACTTGAACCGGCTATTTTCAATCAACTACTTTCACACATTCAGCCACTCTGCGCAGCGGAGTTTTTCTTCCGTAGTAGCAAAGGTTTCGTTCCATCGCTTATAGAAAGCAAGAGGAACGGGTAGGTGGTCTTTTTTGCTATAAAGGGAAGAAATGTCTGGGAAATTGATCACTTTCATTTGCGTTTGCTGAATCTGCAAATATTAGAGGAGACAAGACAGCAATTTACAGAATTGTTCAGTTAAGAAAATTCAAAAGTATCTATAAAAATCAATTTCTAGAATACTAGAGGAAATAGATTGTATTAAGCCAAGATTTTTCAAAATTAGATTTCAGCATCTATAAAAAGTCGCAGTTTATTTTTTTCTCAATATTTTTTATGTCCTTTGACAAAAATATGCAGGTTTCTGAAAGCTCTCTGCTTTTCATGTTTTATTAGTTTTTTTTCATTCCACGTAAATCCAAGATTTCCGATTTCAGAATCAGAAATTCGAACAGATGGTCTTTTTCGACAAATTTTTCCCATGTTTTTTTTTTCAGTTTTTCGTCGATAAAATATAATCAAAAATTTGACAGTCTAGTTAATTTTTAGGATTCTAAAAGAGCTAGAAGAAATGATAAATTGACGGTCTAACAGGATGGTAAAAGATTTCTAGAAATTTTCAAAAAGAGCTGAGAGAGATATTAAGCCCATTTTCATCACTAGCTGCCTTTTCCCATTCACTTCATGTATTAGCGATCGTCTTCTCTTCTCTCTCCCGCCCCCCAAGAGCAGTAGGTTTCGAGACGTAAAATTAGATTAATCTAGACATTACAAGAAATTTTTCAACAGAGAAAACCCAAAGATGAGTTGAAAAATTCTCATAGATTTTGGAAGTGTCAAGGAAATCTTTGACCTTAATTTCACCCCTCAGCTGTCTTTTCTCCCACTCATCTCACGCGAACCGTAGCCTCGAGAATTACCATGCGGGGTAATGTATTCCGACTGTCGATTGAGTAATTGTAGGCAGATGTGGACCATCTGCCACGGGCACCACACTGTCACCCTACCTCCGGCATCGCCCCCGAAACCGTATAATGAGCGGATAAAACCGCGAACATAACCATTACATGGACAAAAGGCTATGCAATACTGCAGCAGCTTGAGCTCCAAATTTTGAAACGTCCACCTGACCCCCCGCCTCCGCCCTCACCCTCCCCAAAATGCCCCTTAACGTGCCATGCAACCGCCAAGCCGAGTCAACATTGCGTAGTAACACGGCTAGGTCATTACTCGATCCGCTCTACAAACAGAACTCCTTGTGAAGGCACACCGCCCGCCGCGTGTGGACTATGGTCGAACCGTGCACCATGGCCGCTTCTGTTGTCCCCACGGCTTGCACAGGTGCATTTGAGCAGCTGCCGTAGTGGATCAAACTCGGAGCTAGAGCTAACTGTGGAAAGGTCACAAATCGCTGCTAAAGCGACGATCGTTGAACGAATCGCGTCGCGACCCCTTTTAGGGAGGTGAATCAATTAGCCACGACCGACGACGACGACGACGATCGGCTGCGACCGACGATCCAGGCAATAACTTGCTTTGACAAATAACTGCCATGGCGTAATGATTGTCATGCAAGAGATAGAGATTGGGAGGAGGGGGGGGGAGGAAGGATGAGCGGCATGAAAGCAGTAGGGGATAAAATCACCCTGGAGCAAGGCTAGGTAACTTGGAAAATGCCGGTAGAAAGTTTTTTCCCCGTAAGAGGACTAAGAAGTTTCCTAATCATCTTAAGAAAAGATAAACAAGAGATTTTTTTGATGACCTACGTCTTACTAAGCCTATTATCCGATTGTGGTTTGATAGGAAGAAATACGCTTCTGGGAGAAAATCACCAAAAAATGAAAACCAAAAATCTGTGCCTATTTAGTTGAATATGATTTCAATTTGATAGCAGCTCAATTAAATATTATCTCTTATTAGGGAGCATAGGCCTACTGGCACAAGATGACTAAAGCTGCTCTTCGAACCGTTGCTGTGTGCAATTGCACAACAACAAATGCTGCGCCAAAAATTAAAAATTTTGTCTGAAAGCGTCTCAACCCAAAACGATAAAGTTCCAATACAGATAACTTTCACAGAAAAGCTGTACTTCTGACACAATACAAAATATTCAACTTAGAGAAAATGAGCTTACAATTACTGCATAAAAAATTTGTGTTTATTGGATAGATTCAAACAAAAGTGTCTGCAATTGCACAACAACACGCAGCTGCGAGTGAAATCCAGGAATCCATGTCTGCAGAGCGTTAGCCTTAGGAAGTTTTTTTTACATATGAATTTTTTTCTACAACGAATGCAATACTGAATAGAATTCTACCGTAAACAAGTTGCTAGTGGTGCACTAGCAGATTTCGAGCATTTGTATGTTGGTGTGCAATTGCACATATTAAGCTACAAACCGACTTAATTTTATCTTCTCCTAGAAAATATCCATATTATATAAATCTCCGTGTTTGACTGTTTATAAACTTGGCATCTATTAACCGCACCAAGTTCTGAAGATCTCAGATGGTTCCAGGCCTGACAAACAGAAGTCACTCAATTTGTTGTTTGAATTCCTTGGAGCCGTGAACGATACGGTAGCAGCGAATATAAGCTGTTTGAACTCTCCAGGTCAAAAGCCCCGCCATCCTGGCGCCCCGTAATTCTATTAGCCCCGCTGCAAAGCCCCGTGAACATCCGGATGATATGTTATCAGCTGGGATGACGATAACGACGACGACTAGAGGGGCGCAAAACTTGTTTTGCACTTGGTGTACAGCGGTTTCTGTGCGTGCTGCGCGCCAACGCCTTACACACACACCTTAACTGAAACATCGCCGTAATACACGAACAAAGCAATCTGAGATGATTGCTTATTGCTTTCTGGCATTGCATGTGCGAGCATTAGCGCGCGAACCTGACCCCGTGCTTTGGAAGGGAAGGGGGGGGGGGGGTGGAACAGAGGGGGAAAGTGCGGTAGCTTATGGTAGCATCTTTGATTGACGCGTCTAATGGGGAAGGGAGAACCCTGAAGAACCCGTGAGCGCAGTTTTGGAGGCAGATTCTGAGGTGAAGAGTGAATGTATTTGGCGCAACTACTACCTCTTATGTTCGCCCTGAGAACAATAGACTGTTTATGCACGTATCGTGAGATGATCCGAGGGCACGGCGGACCCCCGCGCGCAGCATGACCCTCTCTTCAACGGGGCTCTAAGGACCTCACATTCGCATACTTAAACCCCATAGATGGTGCTGTCGAAGTGTTCACTTCTGCTGAGTCTGTTTGGGCATAAGCTCACTCTCCAAACAATGCCACAAACATGCGCATGAGAACTATGCATGAAAAGTCGCGAAATTATATGTGCAAGGCGTGGGCGTTACCTCAGCTGACACTCAGCTGACACGCCATGTGATGTTATCTTGAAAAAAATTGTTCAAAATTCTTCTTCATTCACCTAAGTTTTCACATTTTCTCAAATATCGCACTAATAACCTCGTATACACGAAAAGTCGAAATGCTCTGTGAGCAAGAAAGGGCAGTTCTACTGGCACCCAGTTGGCACGAGCCCGGCACCCTGCTGACACCCATCTGGCACTGCCAGCTAAATTTGGAAAAAAAGTTTACCATTTCTTGCATAGTCATTCCTCTAATATATCAAAGACCTCATATCACGCACTCAACTTTCCCTATTCTACCCCCTCCTACCCCCTTCCCCTCGCCCTAAATGACACAGAGATCGTTCATTTTTGCACAGTCTATTTGGACACTGATCCTTTCTCAAAACGATGGCACAAACACGCACATGATACGAGAAGTAAATGCGGAAAACCGAAAAATTGTGTTAGCAAAGAGTTATTGGCTCCTGGTGGCACCCATTTGGCACGGTGCTGGCACTATTTTGGCATCCAGCCGGCACCTTAGCAAAAACGGGAAAAAATTTTGCCACTTATCCATCTGTATAAGTTTTTACAATCTCTCCATAGCTAGTTACCTCAAATTCATGCATTCCCTCCCCCCCCCCCCTCCTTTAGATGGCGCTATCGAAGCGTTCACTTCAGCCTAATCTATTTGAGCACCAACTTTCTCGAAACGATGGCACAAACACGCACATAAACGCTATCTTAACGCGTGCCAGGCCACTTTTAGCTCGCTTGATTGGAATCGCGTAAATGACCAAAGTTGAAGTGAAAGTTGAAAGTCCCGTCGTAAAGTTGTACGATAGCGATAGCGAAGTTTTTTCTGAGAAATTGGCGCGAATCGCTCACCATTTTTTCTCGAATCATTTCGAAAGCTGCTGGGCCATTGCGAGACGAGGCAGCAAAAAAATGATCGGCTTTGGTTGTCGTTGTGTCATCGCAATATGGTGGAGCTGAGCTGGGAAACTGAAAATGTAAATATCAATAAAATCATAAAAAGCTCTCACAGCTCAAAAAAAAAGTCCTTCTTCCATTCAGATTTTTTTCTACCTGGCTTGTGAGACATCAGAAACCTCCCATAAATATCACTGATATCTAGATGGTCACGAAAACTCAAAGTACTATGTGTCACTCTGAACCGTTCTTTTTTTTTTTGAAAAAAGTCCCTTACTCATCAAAATCGATTCGGAGTCTTTATGCTGCTCTCAATCAAAGCTCTAATTATGCGTCTGAGTTTGTTTACTTCTTGATAAGCTAATACGAGTTCAGAAATGTAAGCAATCAAAAATTGTCCACGAAAAATGTTCGATCGATTCGGAAGAGATGATTGTTTGGAAAACTGAAAAGCTTCTAAAAAAACCTATGCTGGAATAACCTTATTTTCTTCTTCTCAAAGAATTTAAATTTAAAAAATTTGCCTAAAGCCAAAGTTAGTGGAAAAAGATTTTGAAAATATAAATACATTTCTGAATATTTTTGTGAATTTTTGAGTGGTTGGAATGAGGGATGTGAAGCAATAACTTGTGGGGAAACTGACGAGTAATTGTTAGATAGAATCAAACTGCTGAGAACCTGTCAGAAAGCAGACTAAAAATTTTTCCGAAAATTTTTTGAAAGCTCTGAAATCGCCAGACGAGAAAAATAAGATAGAATAGATCTTATTCGAGCGCAATTTGTTGGATGAAATTCATCAAAACAAACTTTCATAACAACAATAAAATTTTTTTTGATAAAAATTCGATTTTTGAGACGTAGCATAAGAAAAACTATGCAAATAAGATTTTATTTGGAGCGTAATTAGCTGAACGAATTTTCTCGAAACATGCCATTCTGATGCATTATGATCTCTTTCATATCGTTATGTGTAACCTCAGACAAAACCGCAATTATTCGTAAATCGTGCCAGAAACCTAGTATTGCGCCACTTCCTGCTCCAACCAATAGCCATAAAATTGGCGCCTGGCTATCGCTATCACCTGGCGACCGACTTTACAGTGCACCTACAGTTTCCTCAGAACCACCAAGACATCAATTTTTATATTTAATTATTTTTATACTTACATCGGGTGTTTTCGCTTCAGAAGTGCCTTCGTCGTCGATGTTGCAGAAACTACGAGCCTTCTTGTAACGTTCCAAACGTCTCAGTCGATTAGCGCACATCGCACGATACGCATTGAAATCGTCATTTCCAATTTCCATTTTTTAGATCTGCAAAGGGGAGAAGTTAAAATTCTAAAGGTCTAAGGACTTTTTCCAAGAAAATTCGAGAAGTGTGTGATTAGAAAATCGTAAGACTAAGCTAATGAATGGAAAGCGCTATCTCCCCACAGCAGGAGCCACTAGCCGAACGATAACGAAGCAGACGCTGTGACTGCCTGTTCGGAATGGATGCTTTGCCCAAGAGAAGAACAGATAGTGGGAGGGAAGAGGGGGTTAAGGGTCAGAGATAACGCACAAAAATAGGGGGAGGAGCTTTACTTAACGCAAATAAGCGATGAGGCGACCTGCGTATGTTCATTGAACCCAGGGTGAACAGCAACGAAATCGCATATCTAGCGGTAGTCAGAGTTATTTAGGGTAAGTAAGAAAAAAAGAAGAGGGAATAGATATTTGGAAGAATTGAAGAAGAATGTCAGCGTTGACGTCAATACAAATTAAAAAAATGATCAAGAGTTCAAAAGATAGTAAACTTTTTCACAAGAAGTCGAGGTGGAGGGGGGGATCGGCCCTCAAAACAAAGACGGAAATTTGAAATTGAAAAAATAGGTTTTGCGGAAAATTAGCCTTGAGCTGCTTTGATGAAAAATATTCCGAAAAATAGGAATTTCAATTTATAGTATTACACCTTTGTTTTAATATAACGTGAGTGTTAAAATTTTTTTATTTTATTTTACTACGGTATTGAAGGCACAATATTTCTATACAATATCATGGACCGGATAAAAATAATAAAAATGGCAGAGAATGGTTTTTTACTCCAAAGATCAATCATCATTTACCGAAAAGCGTGTATCTTACTACGCTATATTAGGAAGAAAATCTAGCAGATGTCCAGGATTTAGACCCATCATTACCCTCCCCGGTTAGTGTATTTTGGAGGGTCACTTGCCAGAGGACCAGCAGTGGGTGTTAATCCTCGGACCAAATAGACATCTGACCATATGGATATGGTAATGAAAAGCTTCAATCGTACAGATAAGTGGTGCTATGACTTCTGGTGATGTGATAGAATTTTTAGTAGACAGCCGAGTTGACAATTTTACAAGCATTAGTCATACGACTGGGGAAAAAAGAAATAGTGATAAAAAGTGTAATTTGTACAAGAGGAGAGACAGCTTTCATCGTAAAAGTGGAAAGAAATGTAACAGGAAAGCACTAGTAGGAGATTTTGCATTTTTTGATAGATCAAAAATTCTTTGACTTACAGATACTTCTGCCACTCCTACAATTGAAGCTCTAAATATTCTTCATCTATGATTCATGAAAAATTCCAAATTCTTTGGAAAAGAAGATGCACGGGGGAGGTATTATATTTTATGAAACAAATTTTTAACTAATAAATCCTTCGGTCACACATGAATGACTTGAAACACTCTTCATCATTTACGATCTGTAAGAACTTAACCTTTTCAAAATTTTTTGTGAAAAGGCGGAGAGAAGCTATATTCAATAATTATGTATTTTGACTTACATACTTCTCTCACTACTATAATGATGGGAAAGTATTTAATCACATGGGATTTTTGATGGATATGAGAGTTTTCCAAATTTTTAGAGCAAAAGTAGGGGGAATTTTGAAATTATAGGACTTTAATGAAAATCCTATGCAATAATGTGTGCAAAAAGTGCCAAGTCTGTTCGGCTATCAAAAAATGTTATCTAATCTCACTAAGTGAGCGTATCTGTGCAAAATTGAGATACACCCCACGAGTTTTCTGCCATCAGCAAAATAGTGAGAAAGAAGGTCAACAGGTTTGGCAAATTAGCTCGTGCACTATCTTCGAAGAGAATGCCGTGATAATGCGATCATACAAAGATGAAATCGTGATGTCAACAAGCACGAAGTGTGAGGCAAAGACAAATAAGGGACCTCCAAACTTGGAAGAATGGGGAGGAGAAGGGAGGGAAAAGCATGTGCACAGGGCAAAGAATGAGTTATGGAAAGTGGTCTGGTCTGGTAAGGAAGAGGAAGAGCAAGATCGTTAGGGGCGAGGTTCGAACGGGTACCGGGGAGTGCGGCGGTGATGGCGGTTCACGTCGCTGAAAGTGGAACCCATTCGGGCTCGGCATGGACGGGGGCGCGGCACCGGCACTCTGACGGGGGGCAGCCAGTGGTGTTCAGATGAATTTCTCCAAAGATGTGGATGTGTAGCAGGTTTTGGGCGTAATGTCATGGCATGTCATCGGACGGGGGGGGGGGGGGGGAGAAGCCATGCCGCTTATGGGTCGTTCGGAATAAGCGCACTTTCCGCGGCCGTTGTCATCTTCATCTCCATCAACGACGCGCTCACGGGGGGAAATGATCCTGTCCCCCCCCCTCGCCCAGCGCTAACGACAATCATTGCGCTTTTCGCATATAGCGAACAAGCGCTGGCGCACATCGCATGAAATAAAGACATCACAAGAGGGCCAACACCCCCGTGTGTGTTGGTCTTGACGGCGGGGACCCGTCCGCGCCCGCGCAAGATGAAGGACGAGAGCGGCGCAGCCGAGCGGCTGCGGATCTGCTGCCATCTGTGCAAATGGCGAGAAGCGCGGCGACGGTCGCACCGTTCGAGTAGCGGCCAGAGATGAAATTTGTAGATAACGTCATTTCGAAGAGCGAATTTGATCCGCTATGGAATGCGAGGAATTTTGTTTGAGAAATGAGCGGGAAATTAGTAAGAATTTGAAAATGAAATTGCACTTTACTGCTTGGGTACTGGAATCAAGGACAGGTGAGAATAGTTAGACGGAAGTAGTAAACAACATGCCTTTATCCGGAGATGAACAATACTTCTATAGATCTTGCAAAAATCAGATTAGTTCTGTAAAATTCTTTGCAATGGTAAGTTCACTAAAAATTTGTGAAGCAATGTGAAAAATCTAGAGATTTTTACCCAACTAGGGAGCTACTTACAACAGTTTACTTCCTAAATGTGATAATTTTGAATTGTATTCTTGGATATCTTTGAGAATCTGAATTGATTTGAATTTGAGAAAGAAATTTATTCAGATTTTTTGAAAATGTAGGGTAAAGGTATACAAGTTTAACATGTAAAAACTTTCTGATAATTAATAAATTTTTTCTTATTTTTGGGAATGCGGGATAGGGACTATATAAGACAATGTGGCTAATGAATGAGTAGGGTCAAAACTTTTATCAAGCCTTCCCCCTCCCCCCCCCCCGAACCATTCAAATGAGCAAAGAACTTAGGCTTCAAGGTAATCAACCCAATATCAGTACTGATAAGAGTGATCAATGAGTTTTCAACGATAGGCAGTGGTTCCTGCAATGTTGCATAAGAATCGTAACGGTAGCTATCATTGGCTCTCAGCTTCCAGATGTATAAGCGGCTGGTTCAATTACCCAAGCTACTAGCACTGCATCACTTTTTTTTTATTATAGAAAGGATGATGCATGAACAAGTTTTAAACAAGGATTTCGACAACTTGAACCTCACAATCAGCCAATTTTTTTCTGCAAATCATTCAAGTATAGTTCTTACTGAGGAAGTCTATTATTTTTTTCAAAATAAAAATATTTTAGCCTCTGATACTTTAGAACTTTAGTCGCAAGCAATCGTGGAATGTAAAAATGACAAATCAAATGGAAATGGTTAGTTTTGAGATGTTTACCAACTATATCAAAGAACGGGGATGTTGTAAAGTATCAGACCGATCCTATAAATCCAGTTTTTTCTCAGACGATGACTAAGTTTCTTCTTTTATGATTGTGACAAGATAGCGATAGATAAATTTGATGTGAAGGACATAAAATAAGGTTTGATTCGTAAGTTTGATAGCAAAAAGCTTGGAGCATTTTTGATTTGCTTTCCAGGGCAAAAAATCTAACAATTCCTAATTCACGTTGAATTTTAATGCAGTTTCGCGAAGATGATCCATGGACGACTTTTCGACCCTGTTCTGAAATTTTTACTTCAAAAAACTCTAGAAAAGAAAAATTTTGCCACCTAGCAGGCAACTATAGCTGAACAATATGGCCTGTCACCCGTACATGGTTGGGAAAAAACACCACCTAGTATCCATAGTAACGCTCTTACAGCCTAGCAATAAGCGCTATTTGTGGAAGAGAGCACTCAGGCAGATTGCACACACTGCGGGAAAAAACTACGGTTATTGACGCAAAATTACAGACGCAAGGACACGATGGATATGCCATAGCGCGGTGGAACGATTTTATACGCTATGCGCTTATTAGCATGGTCCAAATTATAGGACGGGGGGGGCAGCCAGGGTTCGAGGACGAATAGGCCCAAACAGTTACGTATAGGGGGATTTTCGTAAAGCGTCCATTCAGGTCCTAAATGAGGTTGAGCAAACTTCCGGACCAACCAATTTTCTCGCGCCTAAAGTAGTTCGTTGAAGGTCGGTGGTAAGGAGAAATTAGAACATCAAGGTGGTATGGTATGGGTATGGGTAGTACGGATAGGAAACTCTAGAAATTTCTGGCATTGGATCGAATAGAAAGCCAGCTAAAACTAGCCTTGAGCTCATAACAAAGCTATTATGAAACGGAATGACGCAAATTTCATCACCATAAAACTGAACAACAACCAGCCGACGGACAGGTTTCGCTTTTCGAAACGCTCAATTGAGATGGAAAAGATACTAAGAGCGAAGGAAACGGCATACGTAGCAGCTATATAGCTCTGGTTTAGGTTACATCATTCAAAACTCATCAGAAGCAAAAACGATTTGATGCTGAAGAGGTTCTAGGCTAGTTCAGAGGATGCGTAAGATACGTAACTAAATAAGGAAGTGTTTGAGTAAGTATAGTACTAATTTTGATTACCAGGCATACCTTATAGTGGAAAGAAACCTAATAAAATAATTCTAAGGTTGCCTGTAATAGAAGCTTCAACTCAAAGACGCACGATCTTCGATAGCTCAGAATCCTACTCCACAAAAATGCTATTCCCCCCCCCCCCCCCCTCCCCGTTCCCATTTATGCTCAGGTATGATTATCGACATACTTTGGAATTCAG